ACTTTGCAGTTTTACCAAGTTTTACATGTCCATATTACTTTGCTAGTATTGCTTAATAGTAACCCAGCAGTAAATCTTTGAGACATATCCATAGAATGAACCTTTTTTTTTCAGCCATGGTGGTCAGACACCAGTGGGTTAAGAGATTATCCCTAGTGTTTTAAAAATCCCAAATCAAGAATTCTAAAGCTCTCAACAATAGCCAGGAGGGGTATTATTTGCATATTCGCCTAGGGGGCAGATAGGTTGTGTTTTTGTGGTTTTTTTTTTATTTTTTATAAATAGCTAATATGCATTTCTTGCATTTCTTAAAAGGTGCATAAAATCATGCATTTGTAAATGATTTGCTAGGTGAATGGTGAATTATCTTCCAAATACAGTTAATTAGTGCTGGCTTCCTGCTTGTGTTAGAAGCCTCTATACTTTATGTCAGCCTTTGACCTTCTCAAGGTAGATAGTCTCCTTTAATCCCAGAAGACTCTATTCCATTAGTTTGCCCACATTTCACTCCTCTTCTCCTCCTTCCATTATCACCTGTTCTACATTCTCATCATCATATGACCAACCTTCTCTTCTCTTTTTATCACTTCAACTAGCCCTCTACACAAAATACAATGTGAGAATAAAAGAAAAAGTATCTATAAAACAGCATGTAGCTACCTAAAATATGCTGTGGTAAATAAAACTGTTAGCTGTTGGTGCCTTTACCAAATGACCTGAACATACCATTGCACATGTCTGTTTCCCTACTAATCTACAGCCTTCAAAGGAATAAAAATAAATTTCTACAATAACATTAAACAGGTCTGCTATGATTTATATATTAAAAGTATTCTAGGAAAATTGCACTTCAGTTAAATCTTATTTTAATGTAGCAGGAAAGCTGACTATTTAAAGAAACCTTATGATAAATTATTTTATATGGAAAAATAATTTCATAAAAACAATGATTGTCTTCTAATTCATCAGTATTGAATATCTGGATCTTCTTGTAACTCATTTATTTAAAGCAAGTATCAGCTATACACTTTAAGAGAACACTTGTTTTACAAAAGAAATATTTTTCAGATTTATAAATTTAAAAAGAACAGTCAATAACATAACCTTTTAAAACTCATAGACTCAAAATATAGTATTAAAGAATCTCTAATCTACATAATTTTGTAAGTAACTAATCTTACAAATTTCATATCAAAATTCCTATCTTGCGCCTGAATATTGCTAAACTCAAAACAAATATGAGTGGATTAATCTTTAAATAATTCCAGCCTTATATTTTGAATAGTGAGAGGAAAATCCATTAATTGCTATTTAATACTGAGCATATAATGCAGTCTAACATAAAATATTACAGATAAAAATAAACCTTTACAAAAAAAATATTCAACTTTTATACCAAGAAGTCATTTTGTTTCTATATCAAGCAGAATATTTGAATGTGTGGCAAAAAATGGGCCACATACTAAACCTGACAAGCTCAGGGAAGGCCCAAGTGGGGGTCTTACAAACTCAGAGACCTAAAATAACAGCAAATGATGGTCTGAAATGAAAACATCCTAATTAAAAGCAAGACATGGCAGGTTGTCATGTCCAGGCCAGTATCTTTCTTGACAAAGGCCAATCTTTACCTTAATTGAGCCTGTGTATTATCTTTTTGCATCTAAGATGACATGCCTTTGGAATGTCAGAGTAATTTCTTTTTGCCAAACCCCGAAGGGCACAATCTCCCACCAAAGCAGAGACCACAGAACCCTTCATTGATATCTTGTTCCCCAAATAATTTCTTTATGTGTTATAAATATTAATTGTTAATTATTCTATACCCATCAATGTAAAAGAAATATGTGCCTATCCATTTTACTTTTTATCCAATCTCTGAGACTTTACCACTTCTCTTTTGCCTGCCTCCCTAATCTACCACCAATGGATTTCATGTATCCTTCTTCAGTCTTCTGCTTTGATTTTAGTGTTTAAAATATGGTGCAAAACTGCCATTTTCTGGAGCATTTTCTCAATCCACTGAAATTTTGCTTCCCAGCAATTGTCATCAGTTTGGCTCAAATAAACTCATAAAAAAATCTTACACATTTGCATGTTCCTTGTGTCATTTACTTGAGGTAGTGCAGCAGGAGTCCAAAGAAGCCCACCCAGGACCATCTTGCAGACTCAGACCTGTGATAGGTACCAGCAGGGGCTCACTATACCCTACCAACTCCTTGCTTTGCATCAGGTAAACTTGTGTGAAGTTTTTCTCAGAATTCCAGACCTCCTTGTTTTAAGGTAAGAGACCCTGACTTCATTTGTGCTATATATTTTTTTAAATTCTCTTAGTGGAACTAAAAGATAAGGGTTCAGATAACCCAGGCTAAACTTAATAGTTGAGATAATTCAGCACAGGAGGAAAAAATAGGTTAGTGCTTGAATAAATATATAAACTTAAAATTGATGCAAGATAATTTTGAATTATTTTTTAGCACACAACACATACTCAGTAATTCTTTATTTAAATGATAAGTGAACATATTACTATTTCAGTGGTTAAGTTTGTTTTATACACACACTCCCTTGACAGGTTTCCCTTGGTGACTAAGAATCTTTCCTTATTTTCATGACAGCTCTTAGAAACTTGGGTGAAACAATTTGGAGCCTATGAAAATTAGTTTTCAGGTGTGTGTGTGTGTGTGTGTGTGTGTGTGTGTGTGTGTGTACTAACAGACAAACAAGGGAATCAAACCTATGACTTTGACTTATTTAGCACCATTCTCTCAGCTACTCTTTCTCAAAGCATGATACTTAAAAAGCATGCAACAAAGCAACCTGGACAAAAAGGCAAATTCCCAGATGATGCACTAAATTAGAATCTGAGGAATCTGGGAATATGTATCTAAAGAATTTTATCTTCATCCTACCTGGGTTTTTCCACATGATTCTGATGCACACTACAGTTGGACAACCTCTAGGAAGTTGAGTTCAGGTAAAATTTTAAAACCATAGTCCAGCTACACTGAAAGTTTGGGGCAAGCAAATTAACACCTTATACAATACACAAAATAAGTATCTCTAACTCTGCTTTTCCAGATTCTAAAAAGAAACTAAAGAAGCAAATGTGGTGTCACTATTACAAATTAGATGGAAGCATAAAGAGGTTTAGTGTTTACTTTATTCTAATCTAATTTAAGAAAACCTCAGCCAAATGTTACAAACTTTAGTAAATGATTCCCAAATGGAAGAGCTCTGTAAGCATCTGATAAGGATTGTATGCCTATGGTCAAAGTGATGATGCTGCAAGGATTTGTGCACTGTCAAGTCACTTATTAATGGTACATCACTGCCTGTGATTAATTCTTCTGGTTGAATAAGGCAGATCTTTGCTATTTGGAATTGGCCCAATATGGTAGTTATTTTAAAAACTCATGGGGAAAGAACATGCTAAGTTCTAATCAAAAGAATAATTTAAACCTTCACAGAAGATACTCTACAAATTAAGACTAAGAAGTAAAACTGTAAAGCATTAGGATAGAGAGTGAACTAAAGTGTACATATTAATTTCTAATACAAATGTTTTGTATTTCTTGTATTAGCATTCAGAATTTCAAAATAGACAAAAATACCAGTTGACTCTCATGTATAAAAGTCCTAATTAAACATATGATTTATAGCAATGCACTTACTGAGCAAGCGCTGTCATTAATAGACAGATTTTAACATTATTCCAAATGCTGAATATTGCTAGATATAAACATAAGTAATACAGATGGAAATGTGTATTCCTAACATCAGTGAGAGTATGATATAATTAACCGAGTTAATGTCAACATTAGATGGCTAAATAGGTAATGTGCAAGTGTATTAGTAATAAGTTAATTAATTCAATAAAAATTATAATTGTCAGAATAATGTCAAATTTTACCATGCCTTAGATTTTATCCACAATACTAATTTATGTGTACTTACACACACATACACACACACACACACACACACACACCCCTAAAACATATATAAGAAGAAGAAACTAATCAAGAGTGGTTGAGGAAAAATAGCAGTTAGATTTTTTGCCATACAATTTTTTAGGGTCCATCACATACCATAACATTTATGGTATCAGGTTCTGTCCTATGTCTTCAAAAATTAATTTTGAACATTCTCCACCAGGTAGAAATATCCTGAGTTTCTCTCTTCTACTATGTGTAGAACTACTAGTTTATGCTTCAACTTTACTTCAGATTTCAAACATACACATGCATGCCATTCTTTTGAAGTTGCTCCATTTAAGAATCACTAGTGGTCCACAATAACATCACTCATTATTAATAAATTTGTATAAATTATATTTGGGATGTAGTGTAAGAGTTCACTCTAAAAGCCCAACAGAACCTTATTCTGAGGGAGCCTTCACACAAACAAATTATACATATGAGTTAAGTCAGCATTCTAGAATGCTTCCAGTATATCTTTTCTGAGATGTTTAGTAACAATCACTTATATTTTGATTAAGAATCTTTCATAGCCCTGGCCGGTTTGGCTCAGTGGTTAGAACATCGGCCTGCGGTCTGGAGAGACCCAGGTTCAGTTCCCGCTAAGGGCACGTGCCTCGGTTGCAGTTTGTCCCTAGCCCTGGTTGGGTCGTGTGGGTGGCAACCACTCGATGTATCCCTTTCATGTTGATGTTTCTCTCTCTTTCTCCCTCCCACTCTATCTGAACAAAATATCAAAAAATGTCCTCAGGTGAGGATAAAAAAACAAAAACAAAAACGAATCTTTCATAAAGGCAGAAAACAAATAAACATCAATTGGGTCATTGTTCCCTAAATTAATTGTTCATATTCTGCATATAGCTTATCAGTACAACTTTTTAATAGCAAGCTTCTCAACTATTTGATTTGAAGCCAATTATAAATTCACAGCAAGTTGGCTCTTTGTAGAAAACTTGAATTTCTTTCCATACAAAATTAAACTTAAAATCTCACTTTCCATAAGTTAGAAGAACCAATTCCTACCTGTAACTTTCAATTCGGTTGTTCGTCTTACAAGTTTTCCTTCATATTTAAGTTCACAAGTGTAATTTCCTCCATCTTCTTCTTGAACTTCCTGAATTAGAAGAGCATTTCCTTTCTGTATTATTATGCTTCTCCACATTTTTGGCTTGCATTCCTGCAGAGAAAATATTTTCAAGCAAGTAAAAATTAAAAATTCACATCACTAAGTTTCAGTACTGACAAGTTTGTACTTTCACATTTTGTACTCTACTCTTTAGTTTTCAAAATGCTTAACTAAAGAGTTAAGTCAAGGACCAGAAAACATCACAATGCATCCAATTCACATATCACAACTATCACTCTAAGAGCCATTTTTAAAGGTCTTATGCCAAGAACAAAAAGTCTCTAGAAACCTTCTTCTCAAATAGAAAAGCATATAAAGCTACCTAAATGCAAAACTGATATAGCAGAACCTCAAAAGTCACTAAATATCATCATAATGCCCTGGTTCGTTCTATTTGACAGGGATATTTCCTAAGAGTTCTAAGAAGTTAGTGTTTATTTAACAACATAATATACTACAAGGGAGTCTTAGGCATTATTAAGAATTTATAATAGGCTTTTATATTAACAATGTTTGCAATGGTTTAATTAATTACTTCATATAGTAACAACTAATACTAATATTCAAGAGTATCCCTCTCCATAGTCAAGAGATCCATTTGGATGGGGGTGGGACATTTAGAAAATTAGGCTTAAGGAGTTCTCTAGAAACATAGCTAGGTAAAATAAAGACACACTTTGTTTTAGTACTAGGATGGAGATATTATCTACCTACTTCTGGGTCAGAGATTTATGACCAGAGAATAAGATATGGGGTTTTGAAGTCAATTCTTCCACTCTCTCCGGATGGTAATGTGAAGGGGTCTTGCTAATGGGATTGAAATTCCCTTGAAAAGAATGTTTAACTCTTGTCCAAAGAGTGACAAGATATAGCAATAGCCAAGTATATAAGAATATTCAGTCAAGTGGCTTTGTCTTTTGGAGATTTCTCAGTCTATGTGTTAGATATTATTCCAGTTTGTTTGCCACTCATCTTAAATGTTAAACCAAAATGGGAACCAGAAGCTGTGCAAACATCAATGGAGGTGTAGGGGATATTTGTGAGAGAATACTGAATATTCAAGGCAAAGTATTTTATCATATAAATTCTGAATCTCTCAGTTAAGGTAATAAAAAATTGATTGTGAAGCAGATTATGTAGATAATAGTTGAGAGCACTTTCCACTTTCCAAACCATTGGTATAAAAAAACATACTTTGAGAACTGAAATGGCGGTGAAGTGAATGGAGCTATACAGACCATCTCCCAGGACCAAACTGGATTTACAACGAAAATAAAAGCAAATCATCAGGAAGGGGCAACCGAAAGACACCTCGGAGGAACACATAACCAGAAACACCAACTCAATCCTGGTAGGCTTGCGAGGACGCAAGAGGGGGCTGGGAGCCCACGGTTCCCAGCAGCCTGGGCAGGGACCAGGGGACTCGGCTGGAAGATACTGCTACCGCCTCCCTTGTGACCCCGCCTGAGTCCTGAGAACTCTGTTGCCTGCTAAACCATCCCCTGGTGCCGCACGAACTCACTGGGACCAGGGGGCGTGGTGGGAAGTTGCTGCTACCGCCTCCCTTGTGACCTTGCATGGGTCCTGGGAAATCTATTGCCTGCTAAGCCCTCGGCTGGTGCCACACAGACACGTGGGGACCAGGGGACTCAGTGGGACACTGCTACCAGGGCTGAGTCCTGTGAACTCTGCATGCTAATCCCTCGGCTGGTGCGGCACAGACTCGCAGGGACCAGGGGACTCAGTGGGACACTGCTACCAAAGCTGAGTCCCACGAACTCTGTGTGTTAAGCCCTCGGTTGGTGCCGCACGGACTCACAGGGACCAGGGGAGTGTGCTGGAAGCTACTGCCACCTCTGCAGTGTCCCGCTACCATGGCTCAGTCCTGGGGTTCCTGATGAGTGCAACGCACTTGGCTGGAGCCACAGCCGGGCCTCCCATGACTGGAAGCAGTGCCCTCGGGTTAAAAGACCCAGGCGGCTCCACGATGCAGAGTCCACACAGAGGCTAAATTGGCAGCAGCCACTCACCTTGGGCTCCGGCAGAGGGAAGGCAGACTTGACTAGAACTGTGTAGGGACACTTGGGTTTTGGAGGGTGCTAAGAGCTTTCGTTGAATGCAGCCATGCAGGACTGTGGTTATTTTACTCCTAACCAGGGCACTGGGGAGTGGCCCGGCCCCTCCCTCAGAGATTTGACCCCACCTGGTGGCCATTGAAATGCTAATTGAGGCCCATTAACAACCAACAGCTGCCCCACACTCAGGAAATCCTCTTATCTTGAGCACATGAGGAAGTTTTTCAGGCAACTCAGAAACCAAGGGTCTGTAGGTGACCTCTACTAATAGCCTCCAGGCAAAAAAAGCTAGAGGATAACTACCATTTCCTGGGCTAGCAACACGAACCAGAAAAGCTAAGACTAGACTGTGGTGTTTAAAGTGGGTCCTCCCTGGCACATCCAAACCCAGGAGAGGGTGCCACAAACAGCAGAACACCAACACCAACAGGGAAAATTTAAAAGACTCCAAAGCCCACTGTGATAGCCAAAATGGTGAAAAACAGAAACAAAAGCCAAATGAAAAAACAAGAGACCTCTACGGAAGATGAGATAAATGAGGTGCAGTTAAGCAAGTTAACAGAACTAGAATATAGAGCCATGATGTTGAGGAGGCTCAAAGGTATGTGTAAGGATATGAGCACCATGAGTAAAGACATAGAAATGTTGAAAATCAACCAGTTGGAAATTAAAAACCAACAGGAAGAAATGAAGAATAACATATCAAAAATGAAAAACACATTGATAGGTTTAAAAAGCAGAGTATGGGAAGCTGAGGAACGGATCAGTGAATTAGAAGACAGGTTAGAAAAAATCAACCAATCAGAAAACCAAAAGGAAAAAATGATTAAAAAAACAGAAAGACAGCTTAAGAGAACTGTGGGACAACTGGAAACGGAATAATATTCACATCATAGGAGTCCCTGAAGAAGAAGAGAATAAGCAAGGGTTAGAGAATATATTCAAAGAAATAGTGACAGAAAACTTCCCTAATTTGGTGAAGGAAGAGGGCATTCAAGTTCAAGAAGCACAGAGAGTCCCAAGTAAGAAGAACCCAAACAGGCCCACACCAAGATACACAGTAATCAAACTGCCAAAAATTAAAGACAAAGAGAGAATCCTAAAAGCAGCAAGAGAGAAGCAACAGGTTATCTACAAAGGAAACCCCATAAGGCTCTAAGCTGACTTCTCACAAGAAACACTACAGGCTTTAAGTGAATGGCATGAAGTAATCAAGGTCATGAAAAACAAGTATCTGAATCCAAGACTACTCTACCCAGCAAGGCTATCATTCAAAATAGAAGATCAAATAAAGAGCTTCCCAGACAAAAAAAGGCTAAGGGAATACATTAGCACCAAACCAGCACTGCAAGAAATGTTAAACGGACTGCTGTAATTACCAGGAGAAATTGGAAGAAAAATAGAACCACACTAAACGAAAATGGCAATAAATAAGTACATATCAATAATCACCTTAAATATAAATGGACTGAATGCTCCCATAAAAAGACACAGAGTACCTGATTGGATAAGAAAGCATGACTCATCTATATGTTGTTTACAAGAGACCCACTCACAACAAAAGACTCACATAGATTGAAAATGAAGGGATGGAAAAAAATCTTCCAAGCAAACGGAAAAGAAAAAAAAGCTGGGGTAGCAATACTTATATCTGATAAAATATATTTCACAATGAAGGCCATAATTAGAAACAAAGAAGGCCATTACCTAATATGGAAAGGATGTATCCAACAGAAAGATATAACCTTGATAAACATATATGCACCCATGAAGAGCACCAAAATATATTAAAAAACTTCTGGAGGACTTCAAAGGAGAAATCGATAGCAATACAATCTTAGCAGGTGGACTTCAACACCCCGCTGATATCACTGGATATATCCTCTAGAAAAAAAAATTAGCAGGGAAACAGAGACTCTAAATGAAGCACTAAACCAAATGGATTTAATAGATATCTACAGAGAATTACACCCCAAAACTACAGAATTCAAATTCTTCTCATGTGCACGTGGGACATTCTCAAATATAAACTACATGTTAGGGCACAAACTAAGTCTCTACAAGTTCAAGAAGATTGAAATTATATCAAGCATCTTCTCAGATCACAATGGCATGAAACAAGAAATCAATTGCAAGAAGAACATACAAAGACATTTGAACACATGGAAGCTAAATCATATGTTATTAAAGAATGATTGGGTCACTGAGGAGATCAAGGAAGAAATCAAAAACTTCATGGAAACCAGTGAAAATGAAGACACAACAACACAAAATCTATGGGATGCAGCAAAAGCAGTTCTGAGAGGGAAGTTCATAGCACTACAGGCCTAGCTCAAAAAAGAAGAAAAATCTCTAATAGACTATCTAACCTCATAACTTAAAGAACTAGAGAGCAAACAAAAAGAAAACCCAAGAACAAGTAGAAGGAAGGAAATAGTAAGGATCAGAGCAGAAATAAATGACATAGAAACCAAAAAACAATTCAAAGGATCAATAAAACCAAGAGCTGGTTTTTCGAAAAGATAAACAAGATTGATGGACCCTTAGCTAGACTCACCAAGAAACAAAGAGAGAGAACCCAGATACACAAAATCAGAAATGAAAGAGGAGAGATAACAACTGACACCACAGAGATACAGAAGATCATTAACAATTACTATGAACAATTATATGGCAACGAATTCGACAATCTAAGCGAAATAGACAAATTTCTAGAAACACATAGTTTCCCATAACTGGATCAGAAAGAGATAGAAAACTTGAACAGACCAATAATAACAGAAGAAATTGAAGATGTAATCAAGACTCTCCCAGCAAACAAAAGCCCAGGACGGATGGCTTCACGGGGGAGTTTTACCAAACATTCAAAGAAGAACTAATACCCATTCTCCTCAAACTATTTCAAACAATTCAAGAAGAAGGAAGACTTCCAAACTCGTTTTATGAAGCCAACATAATTCTAATTCCAAAACCAGA